AGAATCACTACCGGGCAATTAAAATGCCCAACAGCCACCCAGTTTACCGCAGAGCGATCACAAAATGAAGCGAAGATGAGAACATTTTTTCAAAGCCCAGCTCACCAGCCAAATATCCTCAGTGCGGAGAGCCAGTTTTCGAATATTGTGCGCACTTTTTCTTCCAGAAGGCACAAATAAAGAATTAAATTAAGCTGTAAGCTGGTAATGAACACAGCTAACTGCCAAAGTGCCCTTAAGTGCACAAAATGTGCCTTAAAAAGTTGGAAAAGAGATGCAAATTTAGATATTCAAAAGATAAATCCCTGAAAATGAGCTTTTGTGCAGAGTCTATAAACTGCTTGGTTGAGAGCACTTATTTGCGTCATCGTTTCTTACATTTTTAAATTTCCTGCATGTGCTAAAAACCTCTCTGCCCTGCTCAAGCTTCTCGCGGAATTAAAAGTCTGATTCATGTCTCTTACTTTGAAAATCAGAGCGTCTCTATGCAAAATAAGAAATCAAAAGTAAGATTTCACCGCAGAGAAGTTCTCAGCTTCTCTCATGCTCTCCTCACTCAGAGGAATACTGATTTCACCCACGCTTTTTTCCCTCATCCCCTCCAAGGTTCTGTGCGCAGAAACTCCACGGCAAACAGCAAAGGCGTCGGACCGAGTGCCAACCACCGGATAGCAGACAGGGACTACTTAGGCTGGATGGATTTCGGCCGCCGCAGTGCAGAGGAGTACGAGTACTCCTCATAAGGGGAAGTCATGGCTCACACCACCACCACCATATGGGCACAAGATAAAAAGAAGAAAAAAAAACCCTGCGCAAGCTGTCTCACAATAAGAGTCTATTTATGATGTATTTGTTGTACATTTGTTTGTAAAACTGTAATAATGCAATATACATACAGTATGCCAAATTTTGCAGAAAAGCTCTCACTGTCCAACTTTGTTCGTTTTTTGGATTTCTCTGGTTTCTTTATCATTCAAAGTGGAAAGGAGTCGGATGGTGTCAGGGCTTGTGGAAAGTAACCAAATAAAGATTTAAACTATCGCTCTGCAGAAGTATTCTTCCAATGCACGCTGCTTAAAGTAGATCCATTCACATTCAACTGCTGTTACGTAACATGCGTGCCGAAGAACCAGATTATCTGAAACACTTCATTTCTAGTGCAATCATACTCTTTTATATAGCAAGGAGCCGAAATGACAACGTAAGCATGGACTAATACTCAGTACATATTTACTTTGGTGACAGTTTGTGAGAGTAGACGGCTTATAAATCAAAGGTGGCAGATAAAACATCCCAGTCAGGGTTAGGGTCTACTTTATTTAAGTGTTTCTACATCTAGGATTTACATTTAAAAGGCACATTTGAACCCAGGATCTTCTTGCTGTGAGGCAACAGTGCATACTAGTGAACCATTTAATTACTTAATTTGCCTAAATAAAATAACCTATTGCCTCATTTAAATAAAGTTATATGTTGTAACTGCTATCATTTATTTTGAGTCCCGGTGATTAAAGTAATAAAACCACTGGCTGTATATAAAAAATGGAAGTTGCCCTCTGGTTTGTTGACTCACATTTCTGAAACCTTAACATTTTGGCTGCTGCAGTTTATTTTGAGGTCAGAAGTTGCTTTAGGTTAGCAAGTTATCATCATCAGTTAACGCTAGCTACTTTAAATATCAACATCTATAAACTCTACATGTGCAACACAGAGACTACTGCTAACTGATGTTCTTCAAAAGGCACAAACACCTCAAGAAATTATGGTGTGCTCCAATTCAGTGACCAGTCTTTGTGGAGTGAAACATTGCAGGCACTGATTTGCCACAGCTGCCTCTTAATCTATATATCCTTGCCTGTCAGTCCACAGTTTTAATAAGACATCACTCCCTGTGTATTATAAAGGAGAAAACTATCCATAGAGATCCAGATCGCTTTGAACATGTTAATGTGATACTTGAAGGCTGGAGTCTAACGCTGTAGTCTGTGGGGAAAGACTGATTTTTCACATTAGCCTCAAGTGTTCTTTAAAGGAAGTGGGGATTTTAGCTTTTCCATTTTGAAAGGGCCAAAGGTTGATAGTTGAATAAAACTCAAACTTAATACACTATTCCAACCTCTGCTTGCATGTTAGTTTAGTGTTTAAAGATAAATCAACTCAGAAAAATGTGATCATGAAAGGCTTTATTTATTTACTGTAGAAAGCTAAAAGTAGTTAAACGAACAACAACATTACATATCAGTTGACAGAGATGTCCAACACACTGCACGGCTAGTGCAAACACTATTTTTATTAACATTTGGACATCAACTCAAAAGCAAATCTTTAATCTCCGAGTCAGAGAATCTCAGAGTTGTCTTGGTCATGGTCACTAACTAAACCTTATCCCTGCTCATGGCCAGAACTTTGGAAACCACATGATACATTCACTTCAATTAAAGTTTAAAGGCACAGTGTGTAAAATGTCACCACTAGATGCTTATAGATTGTAGACTGCATTCTCCTGAATTCAGTTTTCTCTCCTCTCCCATTTTAAATCCATAATTCTAGCTATGGCGGTCGCTGTAAGACAAACTCTGGCTGTAGTGATTGTAGACTGTTAATCTGCCGTTTACCTCAGCTGACATTATTTACTCTGGAGGAGTCTGATATGAGTCGATGAGTCAGTGAAGTTCACTTCTGTTCAACTACAGCAATAAAGAGGTGAATTTTTGAGGATATCCTGAACTTCTCTGTCAGTAAATGCTAATGTTTTCGCTACTGTTAGCATCTGTTAGCATCTTTTAGCATCTTTTAGCTGCCTTTAATGAAACTGTCTTTATTGGACCTAATATTGTTGAACTTGGATGCTTAGAGAATAAACTCTCATACAATATAAGAATGTAATCAAACTGCCTATCAGAGGGAAAGTGTTATTTTTAGCACACTCGAGCCTGACATTAGCTTCCTTAATGTTAGCTGTTGTTGTTGTTTAGCTGGCTTCCTGTCAGTTCATGTCAGGACAACATGGTGGCTTCCATTAACTGGCGCCTTCTCCTTTGCATTTTTAATGGATTCTAAGTTTATGAGAACACACCAATGTGTTGTAATACATAATTATGTTATATCTATAACATAATTATGTTATATTATATTTTCTGTTAAATAACCTTAAAAATGACTGACTGCAACTTTAAATGCTGCATATGTGAAATAACATTTGAGAAAATCTTTAAGGTTAAAAAGCAACATTACAATTTTCAGTTGTCAGTGTGTAATTGTTTATATTTAGAAAAACAAGTTATTAAAATATTAAATGAAAGTAGGTATGCAAAATGTACATGAGCCAGAGCATAAGAAAGCAAAGTTTAAATATTAGCATAAACTGAGCTAAAAGCACTAATTTGTTGCAAGCAAGCTGTTTATTTTCATTTATAGTGCATTTTTAGTGAAGCTGAACCTTCAGGATGAAGTACCGAAAGTGAGTCCCTTGGAGCTAGTGATAGAGAAAGACAATTACTATCTGATTCTGCCTGAAGAATAAAAATACAGACCACAACTGGACTGTAGCCATGGCCTTGGTGGAGTAAATCAAAGCTGGGAGTCTGGGGTCTATCATTCCCCCCAACACTGAATTACCATTTCTGATCTCAGTATCTGCAAACATTGGCTCATCTCTTTTACTAATATATGCTTTTATCATCTGACTTTTCTCCTCACTGTACTGCTCTCTACTTTTCTTCTTTTTCATACACATGATGAAACTGTGTGAATAAAGGCCTGCTGCAGTGAAGTTGCTTGCACTTGCAAGAATATTATAACACTAATCCACTGTAAGCAAGTACAACTAAATGGTAAGAAACTACTGCTAATTGCATAAATTATATATGCAATACAGTATATATAGCGTACACTTCACTCAGACTTGATGTCCCCTAATAAATCAAATATAATTGTAGACTGGAGCCCATGCTCACCATTTCTGGTCCTTGGGAGAATGTGTAGCTAATTTGATAACTAAGATATGTTAGCAGGTGATAGCAGTAGATGACTGGTTTGCAGCCACATGTTTTCAGGAAAAAAATTTTCACTAAGCGGCCAGCTGGAACTACTGCAGCTCCTTTAGTGGCCATTTGAAGCTGGCTTAAAAATGAGCCGATCCCCCGAGACTGTTAAATGTTAAAATACACAGCTTTACAAGCTTTACAGCATGTTTACAACCTCATACAAAAACAATATTGGTCTCTATGGATGGTTTCTCCCTGGTGATTTTGTAAAATAACTACTCCTCCTGATTACTGGGAGATGGCAAAATGACTGCTTTGGTTAGCATCATTCTGACATAGGCAGCTTTAGCGTCAGCTGACAGCTGTGTACTTGCTGTTACCTTCACTAACTGGATGTTTCCACCATGTTTGTAGTGTTAGTGCCTTTTAGAGCATTTTAATTGAATTAAATTAAATAACATAGTCTCCTGTGTAGTTCAGACCATTGTTTGTCATCCAGATTGGACTTCGGTGTCTATCTGAAAAATATGCATTACCTGACTGGTTGTGAGTTGTTGCTAACAATAAAAGAAATTGCTGAGGGCCCATAGGTCTAGAGACCAGTCAGTGACTCACTGGTAACTAGGCAGACGTTTTTATTCTGCAACAGGTTGGCAAGTGGTTGGTAGAGGTTGCTGGCAGACTCTAATGTGAAACTGGTCGCAAAGAGGTATGTGGTGCTGCACCAAAACCTCCTTGCAGTTGCTTTTGTCACAAGCAGGTTGCCGTAGTCAGTAATAGCATGCGTGCAAGATGCCAACCTGTCTGCAAACACTTGCCAACTACTTGCAAAGCTGCACTGAATCTGTAAAAAGTATAGCACCAATTGAAAACAGAGAATGTTCGCCTTCAAAGTAAAAGCTGCATATTTTGGAATTTGTTGGTCACAGCGACAAGACATGACACTTTTTTTGTTTCACTTCTCATTTGCACTGCACTCTTTCAAGTTTCACTACAGTTTGGTGGACAGTGATTATTTATAAGTATTTTGTTAAAAAATCTATAACATCAATCTCATGTTAAAGGGAAAGAGAAGTGCGTTGCAAGCATTGTATAATCACGCGAACACAGAGGTCATCCTACGCAGAAGATTCAATTCAATTCAATTTTATTTATATAGCGCCAAATCACAACAAAAGTCGCCTCAAGGCGCTTCATAGATACAGAGAAAAACCCAACAATCATATGACCCCCTATGAGCAAGCACTATGGCAACAGTGGGAAGGAAAAACTCCCTTTTAACAGGAAGAAACCTCTGGCAGAACCAGGCTCAGGGAGGGGGGGGGCATCTGCTGCGACCGGTTGGGGTGAGAGAAGGAAGACAGGGTAATAAAAAAAAACCTTGCGGGGACATAAAGAATTATGGGTAATGATGTTGTCTTTAGAATATGATGAATGTAAAGGAGAAAACGTCTAAGGCTGACATAAAGGGACAACTTGGAGCAGCACAAAGGAGATGAAAGTCTGAGAGCGTATCATTTAGGGAGCCAGCTGGAGAAAGTTCAAAAATATCTTCAAAAGAACAGCAAGATCGTTATGAGCTTTAACGTCTGTGCTAAATATTGAAATGGCTTGAAGCGTCTGGGGGAAACTGGTATCAATTGAATTATTAAAGCAGGTCTGAATCTAAATCCTAATAATTGCTTTTGACTCTACTTGAGAGGCAGGAAAGGCTTTTGCGGAGTCTGGTACATTTTGGCGTGCTGTGAAAACAATGTAGGCATAGAGAAAAGCTGATTTGATTGCTCGGCACTGACATTTAGTCATATTGTTTACTCCAGTCTACTTGACATTTTGGCTCTTTTCTTTGAAATGATCTTGAAAACAATACCAGTGGTTACAAAGGGTTATAAAGTTGAGCCTGTAGAAAGTATTGGCAGACACAATAGCCACAGTGGTGGTGAATTATAATGAATGATGCCCATTATGCTGCTCCTGGCTGTGTGTGTTAAGTGAAAGATGTGTCTTTGTGAGCGAGAGGTGGAGAGGGCGATCGATGAACAAAGCAGGTTCGGTGAATTATTCAGAGAAGTGGGCTGGGAAACCCTGGGGGGAAAAGTTTGGTTTTGCTGTGCCTGTGTATGTGTGTGTTTTGGGCATTAAAGCCACTGGCTCGGACTGAGGTCGCACATGAAGCAAAAACCTACAGAGCCTTGAGATTCACAGCGATCCATGGGAATCGATTCAGCCTTCTGTTTAAAGAGCTGAGGCCAGAAAGGCTACAGAGCTAAAAAGGCTTAGGAAAGGTTTAAAGGCTTCAGTGGAACGAGCTGTAAATGTCGCCATTTGTATCGTGCACATCTGTATGTGTGTGTGGTTTCAGAACTGTCAGTGCAGAAATAAAAAAGGTCAAAGCCTACCATAAGCCTACCATATTCTATGTTAGGCAATTTGACCACTCCTGTATGGACAAGATTTTGTTTATGGGCAAAGCCACGCAGTCATGAAAGGAACAGGCGTGAGGCTTTAATGAAGTTCCAGCCACGTTGATGAGCAGATGGTCTGAGCTCTTCCTCAAACTGGCTGAATATGCTGCGTTTCATTCTGTTCTATCCATCTCCAAAACTTTCTTCAGATCTGTCATCTGAAACACATTTCAGAGGCGTCCAAAAGAAAAGGGCTTGTGGTAAAATCGCGCGTCTTTAATGCCTCTGATGTTTGGAGTTGAACTCCAAAATGCTCCGATTCCAAGCTTACATAACGCAGATTCATCTAACAGCACCACCACCTGACAGTGCAGCAAAGACGCTGATGATAAAATGGGATAGCTACGCATTTTGAACTGTTAGAAAGATGCTCTTAGTGTTGCTGCTAGTTGGGAATACATATGGCAGGGGCCAGTTAGCTAATAGGACTCATTAAGTAGTTCCTGTAATGCTTGTTATTTTAGCATACTTTTGTTATTAATGGTTGCAATTTTAATTTATAATTATAAAGAAAGTTGAATACAATATATATAAATGGCTCAGCTGGTAAATTCCCAGTATGAGAGGCTCAGTTTTGTAACTAAAATAGGAAAAAGATAGCTCTTGTGTTTTATTTAGCTTGGTAGCTATTGCTACCCAGTGATCATGGTTCAAGCAGTGACAGTTAACTGTAGGAAGGAATATTAATACAATAGAAGTTCAATCAGATCCTCCAGAGCAGTACACCTTAAACAGGCCATCGCAGATGAACTCAAAGTGATAAATAACCATTCATGCACACTTTCACACCTTTGGGCAACTTACAGCCACCAGTAACACTAACATGGATATCTTTGGACCAGTGTTGGGAAGGTTACTTTTAGAATGTATTCCACTACAGATTACAGAACACATGCTCCAAAATGTATTTTGTAATGTATTCCGTTACGTTACTCAATGAGAGTAACGTAACGGAATATGTTACTATATAAAATAATAATAAAGCCTGAAATAATTATTGCTTGTATTCATTTTCCTGCTAAAAGCATGTCTGTTAATGTCTTTATTGCAGTTTATATTCACACATGTCTTTAATATCTTCATAGACAGCCACATTTTAATGCTTATAACCGACATGTTAAATCAGCCAATCGCGTGGCAGCAACTACATGCAGCATTTAGGCATGTAGACATGGTCAAGCTGACCTGTTGAAGTTTGACGTGACCATCAGAATGGGGAAGAAAGGTGATTTAAGGGAGTTTGAAC